CTCCAAGTTCATCCACGTTATGTGGTGTTTTGTACTTGATTTTTTAAAGGTGAGAGCAAACTAACTCTAGTCTGTGGGGTTTTACCTGACAAAGCTATCACATCTGGCCTCCCAGAGCCCCTCTGGAATTGAGGATACCACCCGAGAGGTGCCACAGACTGCAGAGATGAGGATGGTTAGTCAGCTGTACATGGACATCAAGTTCCTCACAAACAGTGAAAAGACAGCCTCTACCAGGGCGCATGCATGTCTCTTGCAAAAGAATGAAGTTGGACCCCTACCTCACACCATACAGGAAAGTTAACTCAAAACGGATCAATGACTTGAATGTAAGAATTAAAGCCATAAAACTCTTAGAACAGAACACAGTGGCAGTACCTTGGGACCTAGTTTTTGACAACGGATTTTTAGATATGACACAAAAAGTATGAACAAGAAGAAGAAAACTAGATGAAATGGACTTCATTAGAATTAAGAACTTTTGTGCATCAAAAGACTTTATCAAGAAACTGAAGAGACAACCTATGGAACAGGAGAACAAGAACATGCATCTAATAAGAGTTTCATACCCAGAGTATATAAAGAACGCCTCCAACTTAATAACAACCAAAAAAAACAACCCAACTGAAAAAATGAGAAAGGACTTGAATAGCCATTTCTCCAAAGATACACAAATGGATAATAAATACATGAGAAGGTGTTCAAGGTCATTAGCTGTTAGGGGATGTGAACCGAAACCACAATGAGGTTTACGTGCACTAGGATGGCCGTGATCAGAAAAATAACTGACAAGTGTTGGCAAGGATGCAGAGAAAGGGGGACCCCTGTCCATCGTTGGAGGGAATGTGAAATGGTGCTACTACCATGGAAAGCACTTTGGCGGTCCCACAAAAACAGTTCAACCCAGAACTGTCATGTCTCAGCAAGTCCCCTCCTAGAGAGACACCCAAGACACTGGAAAGCAGGGGCTCCCACAGATGGGGCACCAACGTTCACTGAAGCTTCATTCACAGCAGTCAAAAGGTGAAGCAACCCAAGTGCCCACCACCACGTGAATGAATCAAGAAGATGGGTCCACACAGACAAGGGAATAGCGCTCATGCAAAGAGAAACGTAGTCTGATGTATGCCACCACATGGATGAACCCGAGAAACAATATGCTGAGTGACGTCAGTCACACAAAGACAAGTGTTGGGCCATCCCACTTACTGAACACATAAAAGTGGTTGAAATGGCAAATATTGTATATATTTTATCATAATAATGAACAGAATTTCCCAGTGTATTACTGGGAAACTGCCAAAACAATGAAAAAATTCATCCTGGAAGAAGTATAGCCAGAATGTGCCTTAGAAGCAAGAATGGCCAGACTTTGTCTCTTCTATTTTGGTCATGTTGTCAGAAGGGACCATTCCCTGGAGAAGGATATCATGCTTTAAAGAAGAGGGTCAGCGAAAAAGGGGAAGGCCCTCAAGGAGATGGACACAGTGGCTGCAACACAGGTTCAAGCACAGCTAAGGTTGTGAGGATGGCGTAGGACTGGGCGGTGTTTCTTTCTGCTGTACGTGGGGTTGCTATGAGTCGGAGTTGACTCAATAGCACCTAACAACAACATATCAAAAGAGGGGAGAATGCAAAACAGAATTCAAAATTCTCTGCAGTCTTGACAACTTCCTTATCATATTTTGGATAGGATTTTATTTTCTCCGAGGAGAAAAAAGTCATTGCTGAGAATTACATTGGGACATTCATGATAATAGTAATGCCAACTATCTGTGGTTATAAAATCTAAAATCACTGACACGTTTTTTGAGTAACAGTGGGGTCCTTGATGTACTCACTATGGATGAAAAAATTATCTAAGCTACACTGTGTAAGTTCACACTGAACAAAAAAATCCGTGATAAAAATGTACAGGAAACTCACGACAGCATGACCTTCAAAACTTAGGCCACAAGAGACACGCATGGTCATGTGTGGTCACTTCATGGTAAAAATGCCATTCTGGGGCTTCTAGAGGTAAACAAGCCGTCTCCACACAGAAGGTCCCTCAGCAACACTCAACCAACATTCATGACTCAAGATTACTGTTCTGTCATGCAAGCTTTTCTGACGTTTTAAAACAAGAAATGCTGTACACAGAGATTGAATTAGAAAATTCAAGAGTCAGGAATCAGAGGAGGAAAAGAAACGTACAACTAATTGCTTCCATGAATAACTGCCTCATCTGCCCTGAGAACAGAAGTGGACGGTGCCCGGCTATCATTACTGAATGTTTTGATCAATTCCATGATCAAAAGGGGGGAGAATGCAAAACAGAACTTCAAATTCTCTGCAGTCTTGACAACTTCCTTTCCATTGGTCATGTTGTCAGAAGGGACCATTCCCTGGAGAAGGACATCATGCTTGGTCAATGGTCACCCACTGAGTCACAAGAGTTTGTATTTGGCAGCACTGTGACCAAAATCTTATTCCACGAAAACTAGTGGCCATTTGGTCACCTTTGACTCATGGCAACATCAGGTGTGTCAGGGTAGAACTGTGCTCCACAGGACTGTCAAAGGCTGATCTTACAGATGCAGATCACCAGGCTGTTCTTCCGAGATGGCCCTGGGTGGACTTGAACCTCCAACCTTTCGGTAGCAGCCAAACGTGTTACCTGCCTGCACCACCAGGGGACTTGAGACTCAATTAAATCTTTCAATTAAATTAAACTCTTTCAATTAAATCAAAACAACTATTTGAATTTAATTGAATTCAACAGCTATGAGATAGGTAAATCCCAAAGGAACCTATTATGACAGGGACAAGTAAAACATTCATCACAAAAAAAAGTAAGAAGGAACAGGGGAGGAAGGAGAAAAAGGACAGCAAGAAAGGAGAATGAATAACCCCCATGAGAGCTGCCCCATGACCCTGACCATCACTCTACCTGTCGCTGAACGGTCTGCTTTACCTGTTAAAATGAGGATGACAATCACAGCAAATATGTCAGGGTTTTTGGCCAGCACCCCAGGAGCATGCAGGGACATGTGTGTCCGTGAGAACTCCCCGATGGGTCTGCCTATCAGCTCATCAAACGTCGCACTCCAGGCCCTCGCCACACTCGACGTACCTGTCACAAAACAAGCAACACAGGACATGCAAGGAAAATCACTCATTTATATTTGTCTTTGTCATCAAGCTCAGTGTTCAGCACATCCACACAGGGATTACAGACAATGGCCCAACTGCTGCCTGAACCCACTGCCATAGAGTCGATTCTGACCCACAGCGCCCCTAGAGGACAGAGTGGAACTGCCCCACAGGGTTTCCAAGGCTGTCAGTCTTCACAGAAGCAAAGCCCAAACCACACCCACTGCCTTGGAGTCGATTCTGACTCACAGCGCCCCTAGAGGACAGAGTGGAACTGCCCCACAGGGTTTCCAAGGCTGTCAGTCTTTACAGAAGCAAAGCCCAAACCACACCCACTGCCGTTGAGTTGATTGTGACTCACAGCGCCCCTAGAGGACAGAGTGGAACTGCCCAACAGTTTCCAAGGTTGTCAGTCTTCACAGAAGCAAAGCCCAAACCACACCCACTGCCGTGGAGTCGATTCTGGCTCACAGCGCCCCTAGAGGACAGAGTGGAACTGCCCGACAGTTTCCAAGGTTGTCAGTCTTCACAGAAGCAAAGCCCAAACCACACCCACTGCTGTGGAGTCGATTCTGACTCACAGCGCCCCTA